TTTTTTAATTGAATGTTTAAAAATGTTACATGCAACTGAGACATATTTAATGAAATAAAAATATATTTTTGAAAAAATGTTATTGATGTTTTTGTTTTCATACTACATTTACATCAAAATACATTCTTCATCCCTTCCCCCGGAAAGCCATCACTTTTAACCATGAATTAAAAGTAAAGGCAGGGAAAGTAGCTTAGGAAAATTAACCAGTATATTAACTGAGTTTGATGGATATGTAATTAACCACACTTATGCATCTCAGCAAAGAAGAGAAGTTCATTTCCCGCCTCTTCTAGGGGGCCAAGTTTGAACATTATAAATATACAATGATGCTAGATTTTTGTTTGTTTCATTTTTTGTTTTCAAGCACTTCCACAATATGTCCAGAATCTACTTTCTACCTTTACATTCATTCATTTATCAAAGCAATATATATGGATTATATAAAAACGTAAGAAACTGTGATAGGCACCAAAAACAACTTTGCTTTTTAATATTATTGCTTCCATGAGCTATAAAATCTCAACATTTCAAACCATACAAGTATCATAAAGAATGAATACACTAAGCAGCCAGGATATTTTCTTCACATGGAGAAGCAGAATGAGTCCTTTACGGGAAATGAAGCAAGTTAAATCCTTCCATTTACTAAAGTATACTTTCTTCATTAAGTGCTTTGAGTCAAATAGACTAAAGTAAAAAATATAAAAATAAGAAATAATAAGCACACAAATAAAGAAATACCGTGTACCTAATATGTCTAAGCTGCTGGACTACACACACACACACACACCCACACACACACACATATCATGGTGGATACTGGATATAGAAGTATAATCAACACTTCTTGATATAAGAATTTAAATAACATTACAATAATATTACTTTCTTTAATAAGGCAGTTTGGCATAATACAAAAAGCACTGGGCTTAGACTCTGAAGGGGTAAAGTCCCCACTCCACCATAAAAGAGTTATGTGATCTTGGGTTTAGCTGAATGCTTCATCATGGCATGTGTTCTCTAAGGATAAACGAGTAGAACACAAGCTGTGCTGGGTCCCAATTAGCTAGAAAGACTTTGAGTATAAGCCCTATAATGGAATTTATGTCTGTTGTCTGATGACTATCCAAGTGAAGTTTGGAAATGCTCCTGATTAGGTTAGTTCATGAATGACAACTATTTTAGCCACAACAGCTCTCAAAAAATTTATTTACTAAGTTGCAGAGAAGATGCTATCTGGATCAGTGGAAGGAATAACCACACTGATGAAATCATAGATCCTAAAGGACTGAAGTAACTTTGGTAAGTCTCTTCACATCGAGGCTTTAGGAGCCTCATCTATAAAATGAAGAATATGGAATAGATGATTTCTAAAGTCCCTTAAACTCTAAAAAATATGATTTCCAATCATAAGAAAATGAGACAATATATTTTGTAACATGTATAATTAAGTGCCAAATAGAAAGCATATACCATAATGTTACGAATTCAAAAGAATGTAAGCTCATTATAGAATGGATTACTCTGAGGCTGGGGGCCTTGAGGAATGTGTACAATGTAGACAGGTAAAGAGTAGAAGGCAAAGTTCTCCAAATGGGTTGAACATCATAAGCAAAGAATTACTGTCCTAGGAGCTACAGAAATTTATTAGTATTACATAGTTAAGTTCTAATGACTAATAACATGAACATTTTAATGATTTTTGAAAGTGGAGTCACAATTTAGGATCCCTCAGAAAGCTCTAAACACTACTTTAGGATCTGATTGTGATAGACTATTTGAAATGACTGACCCTCTAATTACCGGCAGTCCCATACTCTTTTATGGTTTTAGGGACAGTTTACAGAGACTTTAAATCTTTAAGGTTCTCTCACAGTTGCCCCAGAAATAGAAGCCTAAAACTGCTCATAAAGTCTATTTGGGGGTCAGGAAATCAGAAAGGACAGCAGATATGAAGATAAAGTCTAAGAATTCTTCTAAAAGGATTGTTGCAATTATTCAATCTTTTGGTGAAAAAGGCTGACACTGGGCTCTCAAAACTATGCCAACAAAGAACAAGTTCTTGCATATTCCAGCAAGTAGTCCTTGAAGTACCAAAGTACTTAAGAGAATAAGGATAAAATTGGTCAACAAAACATGTGACATAACTGTAATCTAACCATCAGTCATGGAATACATCATTTTAAACTTCACATTTCCAAATCACCCTTTCTGTATAGATCCTCCTTCATAATTTTAAGTCAGAAACATTTCCATCCATGTATCATATGTTTATCTTTTCCCTAAAGAGCTGAAAATATATAACAAAATAAAAGTGGCCACTTCCTTTGTTTTGGAATTTAAAACAAGTTGTGCTAGAAATAATTAAGCATAATGATTTAACAGAATTTTCAGTGCACTCCAAACAGTTATCAAATCTTGCTTTTATTCTCTCCACAGTATCTTTCAAATACTTCCCTTTCTCTCAATTCTCACAACCAGAGTTTAAGCTGAACCTTTTAAATGAATCTGACAGAAATATCTCCCCAATCCATTTTCCACATAGCTCACAAGATGATCTTCCTAAAGAATAGGTCTACTCAATAAACTCTAGTAGCTCCCTATTACCTCTTGGATCAAATATAAACTCCTCTGTCTGGCATTTACAGTTTTATATAACCTGGCCTCTTTGGATTTTCCAGTCATCTCACACATATTACTCTCCTTCACACACTCAATGACCAAGATACACTACTCAGTAGTCCTCACATACAACACTCCATCTCCCCTCTTTATGCTTTTTCATTGGTTGTCCCTCACACCTAGAATGTTATCCTTCTTTGCCTCCATCTCTTAGAATCTCTGGCTTCAAGACTCAGACTAAAAGCCACCTTCTATAGGAGCCTTTCCCCAGTACCCCAAGCTAAAAAAGTCCCTTCCAAGGTTACCTTCCATCTATTCTGTACATATCTCATATGTATCTATTCATGTGCATGTTGTCTCACCTATTAGAATGTAAACTCCTTAAGGGTTTTTATTTTGTAACCCCAGAACTTAACAAATAGTGATTGCTACATAATAAAAAGGCAGCAAGCAGGTGACTAAGTAGATGGCATACTTGGCCTGGAGTCAAGAAAACCTGAGTTCAAATGCAACCTCAAACGCTATATAATCCTAGGTAAGTCACTTAACCTCTGCCTTAATCCACTGGAAAAGGAAATGGCAAACCACTCTAGTATCTTTGCCAAGAAAACCCCATGGATAGTACTGGCAATCACAAAGAATCAGACACAACTGAACAAATGAAAAACAACATAGTAAGAGTTTACTAAATGCTTGCTAATTACCTAGTTGACTTATGATTGACATTCCCACACTAGACAACAATTCCCTCCTTTCCATTTTGAGCTGTTTATTTCTGGTACATGATAATGTCCTCTAAAAAAGATAGGCTTGTCAAGCAACAAGAGTGAAGAAAAGTCCACATATTCCACTCGTATTCTTGACATCACAAAAGAATGCTAGCATGTCCCCAGTATCAATGCACTGAATTTGGGAGAGGAATCATAAAAATCACAGAATTTAAGAGCTGAAAGGGATCTTAGCAGCCATCTAGTCAACCCATACACAAAACAGATTTCCAACATACACAACAATTAGGCACTTAGCCTCTGCTTGAAAATCTCCAAAGAAGAATCTACCACCTCTGGAAGCAGCCCGTTCCATTTCTGGGTAGCTCTCATTGTTGGAAGTTTTTCTTGACATAAAGTCTAAATTGGCCTCTCCATTTCCAACTAATATACCTCACTCTGCCAGAGTTGGGGGAGTCGGGGGAGAGAGGGCAGGGATGAGATAAATAAAATAAGTCTAAATTCTCTTCCACCTGAAAGCCCTTCAAATACCTAAAAATTGCTCTTATGCACCACCCGAGTTTCCTCTTCTATAGGCTAAATATGTCCAGTTCCTTAAACAGATCTTCACATAACATAAACTCAAGGACCTTCACCATCCTGGCTGCCCTCCTCTAGATATTCAATAGATGGGTTGAGAAGTATGACTGCCTATTCATTATGACTCTTGTCCACTACCATAGTTTAGATATAGATAAGTTAGAAAGTATCTAGAAAAGAGCAACCAGGCTGTGATATATGTTTATTTGCTCTTTTTCTGCATTAACTGCTTTAAACATGAATTCTTACTGACTTTAGTCAATTTTTGAATTTATCAAAATAATTATGCATAGGTGTTTAGTATCTGAAAAACAAAATATCCCAAATTCATATTGTTTAACATTGAAAATAAAGAGCCTGATTTAAGCAATTTCTGTACCAGCTGAAGTAATTCAGTGTCTCCATTAGAAATCTCTACTGTTATTTTCAAGCCTCCTTTTTTTCTTTATCAGGGAACCAGAACATACCTGCTAAACTGTTGACCATATTAATAATTTTTAAATTATTTTCAATCTAACTGGCACAAAGAGTATCAAAGTTAAGTTTTTATCTACAAAAAATGAGATAATTTCAGTAGCTGACTAAAATTTAAATGATTAAAACAAATGACCCCACACTATCACCATATCATATCCCTTTAAAGATGAATACATAACAATACATAGTTAATAATTCAATTTTAGTATAATTTCTTCACGTTAGAATACCATATGGAAATAAATATTTATTTGTACATTTTATGTATCATCTACTTCTGACTCAAAAAAATGGTAGTAACTTTTTTAATGAAATCTCAAGTACCAAGTTTAAAGGCAAAAAATTATTTTAAAAAAAACTTCAATTTTTTTCCAAATTTGTATCTAAAATTATATTGAAGATACAAAACCTAAAAAGTGCTTCTTAGTCACATCATACATAACTGTTCCTCAATTGCCTACTCAATATACACTCTGTTTCATTTGTGTCTGACATCCTCCCAATTTAAAACTAAATAGAAGTGTTATTGTAAGTAATCATTAGAAGTAGTAACCATAAAAACTAACATAAAAAATTAAATTTTTTCCCAACCTGGTCTCCAAAGTCCTCTGGGAACTTCCATAATACCACCGGTTCTGTAAATAATTGACAAGTAACATTAATTAGAGACAAAGAATATGATATTATTTTCAAAGTACATTAGTAGTAAAACAGTTGTCCTAGACTCAGAATCTTAATTGCACCAAAGTTAACAAATATTTATATAAATACTTACCTAAGCAAATATAGTTTCTTTACATCTCTGAAAGTATAATTCTACATCATTTCAATTCTCTCACTTTCCTAATATTTACATATCAAATTAAATGTTTTAACTAAAGGTTTCAATTGACTCTTGAACATTAAAACTAAAAAAACTTTTAAATGAAATTCAAATTTTGGCCAAATCTATTAATGCACTTATCAGACGATAACAATCATAAAAAGATAATGGGTAGAAAAATATAAATTGAAATTTTAAAATACGATGCAAGCTGGGAAGGAAATGATATTTTAGCACTGCTTATATTTCAAATATTTATCTTGACATACAAATTTACTTACCTCAACTCTGAAAGGAGACTAGATGTGAAAAAATCCTGAGTAAATTTAGTATTCTTCAGTGATTGGTTCAAAGATACTGAATTATATTTCAGCTTAAATTAACAATATTATATTGGAATGTAACTATGGCTTAATATACATTAAAAGTTCACTCATACAATTTTATGTTTGCCCTTCTACAAACAATTCTGTAAAGTAACTGCTACAAATGAACTAACAAGTTAATTCACCTTTGCTCCTCATTTAGGTCATTATATTTACAGGTCTTTAAAATATGATGATTCCACTGATATAATGGAAAGATAAAATCCTAAATTTTTAAGCAGTATTGACAAATTTCTCTGGTTATTTACCTTCAATTTTTATCTTTCTAAAACGAACATCAAAGAACTCCAAGTATGCTTCAATGGGAATTTAACAAAGGTTAATGAGTTACTTATGAAATGCCTTCAAAACTCTAAGATATAACCAACAGTTATATGAAGAATCACTGATGGATTACAGATAGAAGTTTAGAACCATTCATAGCAAAAACACTGAGTAGTCAGAGATCTGTCTGGACACATAAAGAATAAAAGGAAATGTAACTTATCCCCTACTTTTTCAAACATAACATTCTCTTTTTTTCATATTCTACAAACTGAATTGTAAAAGATTTGAATTTGATGTTGTTTTGTCATATCAATAAATATATAGAAGATTTTCTACATAAGAGAAGAGCTAGCCCCAAATGATCTATTTTATTAGATATGATATTCAAAAAAATTTATTTCAAACATGTTCAACATGTAAAGAAAAAAATCCCTTGAATTTATCTTTTCTCCCTCATCTTAAGAAGCCATTTAATAAAAATTCATGTCAGTAATTAATAAACTAAAATGTCTTAAGAACAATTAAGGCCAATTTTCCAAAGAATATGATAGCCAAGCTGTATTCTCCTGCCTTATTTCTTATTAATTTGGCATAATTAAATTTTAAAATATATTTCTTCAATTTGAAACAGAATAATTTCTTGCAAAAGCATATGTGACTTCTTTCTATATTACTGAAGAATGAATTGACTGTCCAGAATACAATGTCTTTTAGGAAATTATTTTATTTGCCTTAGGTCTAAAATAGGTCAGTCTAAGATTAAATATAATTTTTTATAAAATGAGAGCTATTAAAATTAATGTTTACAAAATTAAAAGTTATGCAAATCTATGTGAAATAGTAAACATTACTCTGAGAAATGAAAAAAAAAGACATTCTAAAGAATTCACCAATTCACTACAAAAAGTTTATCACATATCTCTATTATATGAATGACATGAATAAATTTTCTCCAAACTGAATCTTTAAAATACCCCTTTGGTCCTCCCTGAAATTCACAACATTTGAGACTATTCTTCACATCAAATTTCTTCAACTTAAAATTCCCTTAAAACTACTTTAAAGATATTGCATCCCCTTTCTGAATTTGGGATTTGTGTGTTTAAATTCCAACTTTCTGTCTCTTTTTAACAAAACTGGACTTGAAATGTAGGACTGTCTCAATGTATCTCATACCCTTGCAATCTCTCTATTTTTTTATACTTCCTATTCTTAAAAAGTTATATGAATATAAATACAAAAAACCTGTTAGAAATATAATATAGTAAAATACATATTTCTCTCCTTTCTTATTAAAATAAACTTTTCCTTCTTTACCCACCCAAACAAACATTATGACACAATCATCTGGGTTCATAATTTTAAACAGATTATGTTTGTTAGAGCCTCTGGGGTTAGATTCAGATAGCATCTGACATCTTTGTGGCAACTTCTCACAAATACTGCAGAGGAAGAAACAAAAGGGTACTAAATCCAAAAAAGAGAGAATAATCCGATTCTGCAACTTTCTACACTTTATTGAGATTTACAAAGACTGAATTTTTTTCCCCCTGAGGATTACTTCCCAGACACTCCATCTGATCTCCCAATGTTAGGTCAATTTTATGCTGATTTTATGGGTGAGAGGATGAGAATTGCTGGAAGAAATAGCTGTTGCCAGTGATGACTGGTGTATACAAGATTTCTTGAATATCCTGTGTCTAATAGTACTTCAAGGACATATATGCCATTATCTTAATCATTTTTTTAAAATCACACTGATAGTATGAAAACCAAACTAAAAATATGAAAACAGGAAGTATAAATTTGGATTTTTAAGGATAAATTAAATTGTGCTATTTATAACTAAAATGATAAATATTGAGGAAAACATTCAAATTTATGTTTCTGCATCAAAACATGCATTTTGAATCAACAATGCTTTTAAAATATTCATTTAAGTAAAAATATACAAGTAGATGCAAAGATGTGTCAGACATTATCAGAATTTACATAAAAAATCAGTAACAAAAAATCAGTTTTATACATGAACTCAGACCACTTTCATAATTTGGAACAGAGTAAGAGGGGAAATATATTTCAATGAAGGAAACAGTATATATTCCACTAGATAATTTTCTAATAAATGCTATTATATCTTAAATTTCTAAAAGATATTCTCATGTATTTTCTTGTGATAACAATAGATAGGAACAGAAATGGGTTAGATAAGAGAATTTCTAAGATTCCTTTCAACTTTGGGATTCTGTGATTCTATTTTTTCCATAACAAACAGTTCATTAATATTCCTCAAACAAATACAAAAGCAACAATGAGCTTAAAATATTTTAGTGACTTAATAGTATAATAAAGCCTCAAGAAAAGGGTTTATTTGCAGAAAGAATAAGAATTACTTAATTTTGGAGAATCTATGACTAAATAGAATGTACTTTTTTTCAAGCATGATGCAATTATAGCCATGGCTGGAAAATACAGTTTGGAAAAGATGGAATTCACTGGGAAAAAATAATCCCACAAGATAACTATTATTTCTACAGGTCTATATGACATTTCTGAATTCAAGATGTATGTATGTATACACGCACATATATGTATACACACATAAATATGTGTGTATGTGTATAATGTTTAATGTTCATGTAACATATATATAATTAAATTTATATCTACATATGTATATGTGTGTATATAATAGAATCACAAAATTTGGAAAATAGAAGGAACCTTAAAGATCCAACTCAACATCTTCATTTTAAGTAAGACAAGACTGAAGCTCAGAAAAATCACCTCATTAGCCTAAGTGAACAGAGATAATAAGAGATTGAATTTGATTACCTTATTTTGTGGATCAGCAAGATTAGGGTTTGTGCCCTACTCAGATATTAGGAGGTTAAATGAATTGTCCAAAGTCACACAGGTAGTAAGGGAAAACCAAAAGAGTGTCCAATATGACTCTGATGATTTATTGTCTATAAGGAGGATAAAAAGGACCACTGTCTCCTGTTTTCGGACTGAGAAGAATCTGCTACAACAAGAAAATGCAACTGATATACTATACCTAAGTTTCAACAAGGTATTTAAACTTCAAGTCCCTCTCCAAATACCCTGGAAGAAGAGATTAGGAAATGTGAATTAGATCATAGCACAATTAGGAACTTGTCAGTAAGTTTGGGCTAGGTGGATAACCAGCACAAAGGAGTACTAATTAATAGATAAGGGTTCATGGCAATAGCTCAGTCCTTGACTTGGTCTTGTTAAATATTTTTATTAATGATTTATATGAAAGCATAGATGGCAGTCTAATCAAACTTGCCAATGACAGGAACATAGCTAGCATCCTGAATATCAGAATGAGCATCCACAAAATATTAGGAAGCTGCAACAACGAGCCATATCTAATAAAACGAAATTTAATAGGCATCAATACAAAGTCCTGAACTTGGCTTCAGAAAGATAATTGAAGAGTATAGAAGTGATGTCACCATAAAAAAGTCTAATGAAAGAGACTCTAGGTTTTTGAAAGACACAAATCTCCATATAAATTAATAGTGTGATCCAGAAGCCAAAAAGCTAAAGAAACAACAGTATTTTCTCTAGAAAGGAGGCAGTAGTTTCACTGTACTTGTGTTCTGATCATATCCCATCTGGAATACTGTGTTTCAGTTCTAGGTACCATATTTTACAAAGTCAGTAATAAATAGGAAGATAGTGTCTTCAAATTTGTGAAGCAACGTCACGCAGAAGGATTAAACTTTCTTTTCTTTGACCTACCAGGATCAATGGATAGAAGTTACGGAGGCAGATTTCCATTCTATATTGAATATAAAGGTGATATGTTTGCAATGATTAACTCAAACTGTCCAAAAATAGAAAGGTAGTAAATTCCCCATCACTAGTACAAAATAAATTCTTATTTAGGTGTAAGTTGAACTAGAGGGCATGTTGAGTCTCTTCCAACTCAAGGCTACAACTGCATGGACTCTTAAGTAGTTGGATAAGGCTGCAGCATGTTCTATGAGTTTCCCTTCCTCAGATAAGTTTTTAGGTACTATATAGAGAAAAACATTTTGAGAAGAACCTGTGATGTATGGAAATGACCCACAGTGGGCCTCTGAACTAAGTTCTCTCCTTCAATCTGATGTGTATGTATCCTTTTTTT